CGGCGCGGCCGCGGGCGGCGCCGCGGGGGCGCCGGCGGCGGAGCGGCGCGCGGGGCCGGGGCTGCCAAACCTGCAGCAGCTGACGCTCAAGCACTGCAGCCTGGAGAGCATCAGCCTGGCTGACCTCATCACCAAGCCCGAGGTGTGCTGCGATGACGCACCCTGCCGTGCCGTTTCTATACTCCGCAGGCATTGGGTTTGAGGGCTCTCGGGCCAAGTCGTTGCTGGGCTGCCATGGGGAGGCAGCTCAGTGCAGGAGCTCTTATTGCTGCTGCGCTCTTGGGCGAAAGCTTGCTTGTCTTGCATGCTACTGCTTGCAAAAGTCGCTGCCCCCCCCAGCCACCCGCCACCAATCCTCAAGTTTCCTACACCCCTCTAGCGCGTATACACGCTCCAACCAAAACCTCTCCACCCCCTCCCCCCAAAAATCAACCTCTGCAGGAGCTGCGCGTGCTGCTGATCCACGAGCTCGCCGGCCTGCGGCCCCGCGACGTGTCCCTGCTGCCGCTCCTGACCAGCCTCAAGCGCCTCAGCGTGATCTCCCCAAAGGACGACGCCTGGCTCGGCCTCTCGCCGCTGCGCCAGCTCGCGCCGCTTGCCGGCCTGCGGCACCTCGACTGGGTGCCCTCTGAGCGCGCGCTGCCTGGCAAGCTCAGGGGCGACGACGTCCAGACGCTGCTCAACCTCGGACACCTCCACGTCCTCACGCTGCCCGCGGCCCTCGGGAAGTCCGACCACCTCGCGGCGCTGAGCGAGCGGCTGGCGGCGACGTGCCAGCTGCGGCTGATGGCGCCGGCGTACTGCGAGCACGCGGGCGCGGGGAAGACGTCCAAGATTCAGCGGCTGCTGAGCGCGGCGAGCGACCTGTTTGACCGCGCGACGGGGGCCATCGTGTCGCGGGGCGAGGCCTTGAACGAACCCTAGCCGTAGCCGCCGGGCGGGGCCGGCGCTGGCGCAAGCAGGGCTGCGCACGTCTCGGAGTTTGGGATGGGGGGACGTATGGGCCGCGAGGTTGGGGGGTGTAGGTTAGAGTCAAAGGTGGGCTCGCTGCTCGAGGCGCGGCCCGGCCTGGCTGTCTCACATGCGCACGCTGGGGAAGGTGCTTTTGATTTGTATGATACACCGGCAGTTTGCGCGTGCGCGATTCAATAGGCGGGCAGATTCTGATCCAATAGTCACTTACAGATAGGTGTTCAGGCTTTGCAGGCATTCGCTCTGTCTTGTGGTCCAGCACTAAAACTAGAGACGGGCGGCGGCAGCACTGAGCGCCGCGCCCCCGTGTGTGCGAGAGGCCGCCATGAGTCATCGCTGGCCGGCTCGGGGCCGCTGCGCGCGTCCATTCGCCGCCACCCCAGCACGATCGCGGAGGCGGCGGCAGCGACCATTTGCGCCCTACGAAATAAAACAATGCACCGTGCTTTCTTGGATCAAAGCAGCCACCGGCTCGGCTGCTTGCGTGCGCATCCTTGCGCGGCCGGCCGGCCTGCGCGTGCCATCTGCAGAACCTTATCACCACCATCCCTTGGCCAACGCCTCCCATGTCTGAGCGGTGTACGCGCCGCAACGGCCCCGGGGCTTTCCTAAACCATGCCCCACGCCAAAGCCCAACGATTTCGAATGTGTCCGCCCGTCTCCTGCTCGTGCGCCATGTGCGCGGTGCTGCGGGCGTCGCAAAACCGACAACCTTGGCCGCAATATTGTAACCTTGACCGGCTTTGACCCTGCAGGGCACGTATATTGCAGGAGCGGGCTGCTCGCTCGCTAGTGGTGAGCTCCTGTTTCCTCAGCTTTTTGGGCCTGGAGGGGCCGGGCGGGCCGGGTGGGGAGTAGTCTTGCAGGGCTCCCTGGTCGAGTCGAGCAGTGACGGGCTCAGCTCAGCGGCACCTGCAGGTGTGCGACTGTAGTAAAATCCTGTCAACAAGATTTTGCAGACGGCAGGCTGCCATTCCTTGTTGTGCATGATTGGCGACCAGGACGCAACGCCCGCCCGGTCCAGTAGGCCGGGAGCACCAGGCCAAACGAGCGGGGCAGGCGAACGATCTTACAGGCAGGCTCAAGCGTGATGACGCGTCGCTTGAAATACTTGCACAATTCTATAAGCGAAAGTTGGCCTTCACCGGCCGCGTGGCCCCCTGAAGAGTGCTGCTGCTGGTGTGAGAGCCGACAGTGCCTTTCGAATCCCACACGGCTGTTTTGCAGCAAGCACTCCATCGACGGCGTGTCTCAGATATTATCGACGACCTCGGCAGCTTTTAGAATTAGTTGCAGCATACATCGGCGTTGATTCTGGCCAGGAGGCTCAGCGGGTCACCCGCTCACCCCCACTTGGGTAGGGCCTAGGACTAGCAGGCGGGCCTTCGGAACCATGGTGCTCGCAACGGCGTTCTCATGTGTGGACCCCACGCTGGTCGAGGAGCCCGCGGCGCTGGAGGAGGCCGAGGAGGACGTCTTCCGCGACAGCTGCTCCAGGCTTCGCAGCACTCGCAGCGAGCCCATACCACGAGTGAGCGCGTTTTTTTGCGCCGTTCATGCGCTGTACATCAGTGCTCAAACCCAGGCGGTGCCGAGCGGCTCGCGGCAGCGGCATGCGAGCCCATCACACCTGACCGCGCACCCCGCACCACCCCGTCGCCGTGCGCCGATGCCCACGCACCAGCTAAACCTCCCCTGCACGGTGATTTCACCACAAAGTAATACAATTCCCAACCCTTCACTCCATCAGAGGGATCAGGAGGATGTGTGCTGGATCTGCCTGGACCCCGCCGGCGCGCACGGCACCCTGGAGCGCCCCTGCGCCTGCCCCCGCAGCGTGCACGCCATGTGCCTCGCGCGCTGGCAGCTGCACTCCGCCGGCCGCGAGTGGGTGTCCCTTCGTCCCCGCATGCGTGCCGTGTCTGCCGATTGCGGCGCGAACGAAGCCGTGCGCGCTTGGCTGCCGTGACCCTCGTCATCGAGCGGCCTGCACACCAAGGGCAACTCCTGTTCGCCGCGCGCAGTACTGCCCTCGCCATGCTGCTGACTGCCCACCCGCCCACCCGCCCGCCGCGCGCTTCTGTTTTCCTATCTAC